GTATGACCTTTTTTATAATCGTTAATTAATATACACTTCGATAAACTTCCATACGTAGCCACTCTTACCAACAATTTTTACTTTTTTTGTTGTTAAGTAGTATAGGCTTCTTACCAACAATTTTCACTTTTTTTATTGTTAAGTAATATATGCTTCGATAAATTTGTATGGTAAGTGATTCTCACCAACAATATTAGCGACCTCTAACATAGAATATTGTTCTTGATTTAAAGTAAGTGCACTTAACCAACATTTTCATAGCATTAAGTGAGTATGTTCCATTCAAACATTATTTTACAAAACTATCAATGAATCAAAATGAGGGAGAAAGAATATAAAGTAGAACACTATATGGTGTCCAAATGAAACCAAACTATTTTTGAAGTGTGTGCTACAGTATATATGATCCCAATTATATGATTGCATAAGCCATATCTAGTCCACCACTCAACTACATTTAGCCCATATAGAGAATAATATGAGGTCATTTTGCTTATTTTAATTAATGAGAAGTCTTCATCAATTTTATGTTATTAGCACAAACTCCAACTGATTACTACTTATGAACAATTGAAAGTATGATGTGACTGCACTTTTGTGCAAAACAAGAAATGTTCTTGATCTTAATTATGTGGCATAATGGTTTGTATATTCATTTCATATTAAATGGCTGAAAGACAACTAAGAATTTTATTAGCATATACATGGCATTAGGACTTTATCTATCAAGCACTTTAAATAATGAAATTGGAAGAAAATTTGATGCTTTCAAGTAAGAAATAGATTCAGGATTCTTAATAGGAATTGCTAGTTTATCAAATACAAATTAGCTCTATTTCATGACATAAGAGAGAAATCAATCCAAAATTTAAACTTTATAGGTTCAATTTTGAGTTCTTACCACTAAACTCGTGAAATATTGAAAATTATGGATATTTACAATCTGATATTTATTAAAAATTTTAAAATAATCAATAATCTTAGCGATCTCTATGTATCAAATATTGATCTAGATTGAAATAAGTGCATTAACCAAAACATTCATAGCATCAAGTGAATTCCCACTCAAACATATCCACAAAAACTAGCAATTATTGCATTAGGCAGAAAGAATATTAAAAAATAACATTATATGGTGTCCAAATGAAACCAAGATATTTTTTGAAATGTATGCTATGTGTGATACCAATCAAAGTTCATCATTAATTAAAGTTATGGCATAAGCAGTATCAATTTCTCAACTACATTTAGCCCATAGAGAATAATGTGAGGTGATGTTTCTTAATTATTTCAATTAAATGACAAGTCTATCAATTTTTATCTTACTAACACAATCTCCAATTGCATTACCTATGAATAGGTCAACAGCATATTAATGCAACATCCGCTAGGAAAAAAAAAATCAATGACTTTGGGGTTTGCAAAAATTGTACCATATCAATGATTGATAGGCCAATGACCTCATCAGTCTAGACATGTGTCATGACTCATGAGCAACAGAGTTACCTAGGAGTCAGGTTACACTCTCATAACTTATCAATCAAATGGACTTAGTTTCTAGGTAAGCCTACAGGTGCAACATTGGTTAGGTCTTTTAAATTTAGTATTTTCAATTTGAACCATATAATTAGGTGTAAAAATTCAATAAAATTAAAAGAAATAATACGAAAAATCATGTAACTTCAAAATTGCAATTGGTTCAATATGAAGAATCTTAAATTTGAATCTACATGGTTTAAATTGAGAATCTGCAAGCTCTAGATTTTTATGGCTTATGATTTCAATTTTTAATTAATATGTTTAATGTTTTAGAAAAAAAATTGGCATAGCTTTATTGGAGAGGATAAAAATAAGACATTTCCTAATGATTATGACAGCCATTTATATTTGTTGGACAAGAGTCATGTCATTTGAATTCAAATGATATTTTTGATGAAGTAAGCCAAGAATATATGGAGAAAGTTTCATGAATAATTCAACTCAAAAAATAATGAAAATAACAAGTCATAAGCTTCATTATTATATGTAATCCATTTGGACAATTTGTGGACAAGATGATCAGATTCAGGATTATTCTTTTTGCAAACGTCAAAAATAATTATGCAGAAACTAGAAAAAGGAATATATCTACATAAAATTATTAACGTGTTTTGTGGACAAAATCAATAGCACATAACCCTAGATAAAGAGGTCTAAAGTCGAGGATTAGGATAGAAGAGTAATAGGTAACCGATTACTTTATGTGATAGATAAGGGGGCTATAGTTCCCTCTTTTCATTTTCTCCTTCTTTAGTGGTATTATTATTTAGTATTCACGTCGTATCTTATTCTTCAACTTTTACTAGTACTACTTGTTGCTTCACTCAGATTTGTTTATGTTGCTACTTTGCTATCATTATTTTCCTTCCAATACCTCTTTGATTACACTTATTTTGACCTGTCTAAATTACTTGAGTTGAAATAGTCTAAAATGTGGGCACAATCCAATCCACTCAATTCTTACTAAGGTTTAGTTTTTGTATTTGCTCTTTTATAATTTTCTTAGCATATCATAAAATTATGTTTTTTTATCATGGTTATACATAACATATCAAAATGAAAAAAATTATCTTTTACAAAAATTAACAAGATTTCTCATTAATCAATTTGAACATATATCAACCCAAGTTTTTATAGGTTGTAATGGACTGGAAGAGGTATCTACAGGCCCAAAACATTTGCTCTGTAAATGCAAGCACTATCCAATTGGATTGGTCTTCATCTATGTAAATTTCAGGCCCAATGTGAAACATCAGATGCATACATGTGAAGTAGTTTTAAAACTCCAAACATTTATGTCTAGTTTTTAAAGTTAATCTTGAAGCTGTTAAACTTGTAAGATTTTATAAATTTTGGCTATGCTTTAGATATAGATCTTGAAATTGATAATATCCTAACCCAAAATTGTGTAGGTAAGCACTTGTAATACCTTTGTTCAAATGGCCATATTCAGTTCTTAAAAACTATTTAATATTTAGTCAATTTTGGCAAATTTTAGACTAAACCTGCTGCTTTTACTCACTAGCTTCGAGTCTAAAGTTGGCTACTGCCATTTCTATAAGTTAAATGGATAATGTGTTGTTTTATAACACATTTATTTATATTAACAGCTTAGTAGTAGAATTTGTTTAAATGATTGTCCACACTCCATAGTCATATGACAATTAAAGAGTAAACTAATAAGACAACTCAGTTGATTGGTTATCTGGTTATTCATCTTGTTCATCTTGTTGATTAAGTTTGATTCTCCCGGCTTACAATCCCCTCGGCTATTTCCCCTTCCCCTACCCCAGTTTCTTTTTAAAAAAGAAAGAAAAAACTCATGATTGGCATTGGATTGCGAGTTTCATCAAATGGGTTAACCTTGCAATAAGTTTCCACTTATTCGCTCAAAATAGGAGTGTTGTCGCATTTTACGTGTAAGAGGTAAAGGATATTTAGTAATTACATAGTTTCTTAATTTTCATTGTGTATTACTACATGTTTTCTCATTTTTTATATATCATGCTATTTTGCTTCAGAAAAAACCTGGATGTCCCAAAATATAGACTTTAGAGTTTAGAGTGCCAAGTACTCCTCCTTTCTTCCTAAGAGTTTAAATTCCCTACACAATAATCCATATTTTTGGGTCTCAAAGAAAGCTAGTTGATGAAGAATAAAAGTGAGGAGAATCTCACAATTGATTTTCCTATGTTGTACTTAAAATTGGACTATCTTTTTTGGAATTGGATTATGTAGCATTAGCATTAATCTTAATCAAATTAACAAGAAATTGGAAGCTTCGTAGATCATGAACATTTACTTCTTTTTTTGTTTTTCACCCTGTGTTTGGTATCTGCATTAGAGCCCCACTAATTTATATTTGCTCCGTGTAGGTCCCCATTCAAGGTGAGTTCTCCCTACCAAGGATTTTTCATACCCCAAGCTCGAACTTGAGAATTCTAATTAAGAGAAAAGTAGCCTCATCCGCCTGTACCACATCCTTTAGTGGTGTAGATCATGAACATACTTCCTTCCATTTGGACTATCTTTATTGGACTTGGGATGGAACAAAGCACAAATTCGATTTTGATTTGACAAGAAATCGTCCAATTCCTATTTGGTTTGTCAATACTAACTTTTTGAGCTCGTAGAGTGATGGTTGTGATCCCTCCACTCTTAATCCTATGTCTCATGTTTGAGCGCCCTGAGCCCCTGACAATGAAAATATTCTGTATGGAGCATTTTACCCCTCATAGTGAGCCTACTTGACACGAATTCAAATCAGTACTATATATATATATATATATATATATATATATATTATAAC